TGCATCCTTTTATTTGCTTAGATTACACCATTGACTGTGGAATGGTTCTGTTACTACATTGAGGTACCAAGGTGCTTTACTGTCACGTGCGTCTTCTCTATCTTTGGGTAGGAGCGAATTGGGTTCATGTAGGTGAAGTTCTTCAGTTAATAAATTTCATCGTTTTTATTAATTCAAAGAAACTACAGCTGTATTTTGATCACCCTGAAATACAATAAAGTGACATAAACATAAACGGTTAAGTTCCCATGCCTCATTTCTAATTCCTCCACCTATAACCAAACAGCGAGAACTGATAATTATTTTTGAATTGTCTACATACAGCTCATTTATAGTGTCACATACTTCAAAACTCTCTGAATGTGATGTATATGTAATAAACTGAGCTGCAAAAGAAACGCAAGCTCCAATTTGTTTGAAATGTAAGTGTAACTCACCATTCCATTAAGTTGGAATTGAACTGATGGCGTACAATATGGCGTCACAAAACCATCAACAATGAACCTAAAACATGAATATTGCTCTTAGGTATGGAATACTGTAAGGGACATTCTCGCGATCTCGCATTCTCGCGTTCTCGCGATTTCGTGTTTTTGTGGCCATATTTGGCAAGTCGAGATAGCGAGAATGCGAGATTTGACAGCATGTACAAATGTCGCAATCTCGCGATCTCGACTTTTGACAAAAAGTGCTATGTACCAAAAACACGAGAATGCGAGATCGCGAGAACGCGAGATTTTGGCCAAATCTCGCGTTCTCGCGATCTCGCATTCTCGTACTTTTGGCATTTTTAGCTTGTTTCGAAAGGTCGAGATCGCGAGAATGCGAGATCGCGAGACTGTCCCTTACAGTATTCCATACTTAGGCGACATAAACATGTATTTCTATTCACACACTCACTCGGTGATTTTATTTTAGGATGCTGGTTTGGATGTGGTTGATTGTCTTAGTGCTGGCCACTCATGGTGGAAATTGACATGAAAATATACTCGTCACAATGCCTTATTTGTCATAGGTCCCTCCCGTTCATCTGGCACTTCCGACACATTTCTCACACAACATCATAATTCAAAGAAAACCATAAAAAAGAACCAGTCAGACTAGAAAATTCGGAAACTTTTGGAAGCAGTACACATCAAGAAGATATGATCCGCTCTCAACAGAGATGAAGGATAGTACATTCCCAATGCCTATTATTACTTGATAAAGTAATCAATAATATTTCTTGTGTACATTATCTGTTTCAATTCAACTATGTACATCAAACCCATCTTTTGTATATACATCCACCTGGCCTCCTATAAATTCTAATTCAGTCCTTGTATATCACCCTTCTGGATTCCAATCAACTTACTCAATCTCTTCTACAAGCGTTGTACATCAACCTCATTTAATGTATAAACAACTCATCCCCTATCTACCGTAATAACAACTCATGTATATATTCTCTCAATTTGTTACTCATGTATCACTTGCTTGACAACGACAGTAGAATCTATGTCGAAACGTCGCCTCCACAGAATAAAAGAAGTTGTATATCCAATATAATTGTCATTATTCTTCATCAACTCAAAATCTAAAATGCCCATCAAAGAAACAATTCAATTGGTTGGTGTGATTAAGTTGGTTAAGACAATTCGAATCCAGTTATGTAAAAAAATATGTAATTCCTTAAGTCACATCACAAAATGAACGTTTCCGTTATTTCACGATATGACTATTGCATACGTGCAAATTGCATGTCAAAGGAAAGTCTACATCTCTATAAGATATTTTCTAAAAGTCTAGTCATACACCGCCATTCGTGGGCAAGAACATTACTGAAAACCATTTAATACTATCCAGAAATTACGATGGCGACTGAGCTCCCGTTTGCAGTCGATCATGCGCAGACAGCACTGAATTGTGGGTAATATCGCTTTCTCGCTCTATCGCTTTCTCGCTCTATCGCTTTCTCGCTTTCTCGCTCTATCGCTTTCTCGCTTTATCGCTTTATCGCTTTCTCGCTTTATCGCTTTCTCGCGTAATGGTATCGCTTTCTCGTCTCGTGCTATCGCTTTCTCGTCTCGTGTTATCGCTTTCTCGTCTCGCGTTATCGCTTTCTCGTCTCGCGCTATCGCTTTCTCGTCTCGTGCTATCGCTTTCTCGTCTCGTGCTATCGCTTTCTCGTCTCGTGTTATCGCTTTCTCGTCTCGTGATATCGCTTTCTCGCTTTCTCGCCTCCGAATTTTAAGGCGAGAAAGCGATGGCCCTAATCAGCCACCATAGTTCATTGGGTACATAGTTCCATAAATATAGTCGATAGTTTATATAATACTATTTATTTATTTGTTCACCAATCAATGTTTGATTGTGTGTTCATTGTTTTGTATGTTATTCTCTATTTTGTCTATCCTGTCTGAGTATATCCTGGTGTCAAGTGGATTGACTCCTTCTTCTAATTAAGTCTTTTGTTCGTTAATTATCATTAGGTATTGTACAATATGCCTTCAGTTAATAAGGTTCCCGGTTGTCTATATTATTGCCCTGGATTCCTTATTTTATTTATTAATGGTTGTTGTAATCATATGTATTTAGGTGTGTCATTCTGGTACTGATCATCTGTCAGACTGGCTGCCCGCAATCTGTCTTTAATTGAGGTGTGGATATTTAGGGCTGCGGTGAGGGTATATCACTCATTCTCAATAATGGGGTGCAAATGCTGTCGCCGCCATGCTTCTCTTAAACTAATTAGCAAATGTTATTTTCAGTGTTGTTGAATAATGAAACCAACCTGCCCAACATACATCATACACAAACAGTCCAATAACCCCCAAAGTATATTTGTTACAGCTAAGGTGATAGGTCAGTTTGAAATGTTTGTTACTGTCGCCGGTGTGTGGTTAATGGTAACTTAATGCTTGATTTGCAAGAGTATGTAATCTCCGTTACATAGCTTGTGAAGTTCTGATACTATTTTTCAAGTATCACGTGATTCATATCTCATCTGGAAAATCAAAGAGGATGCATACAGTCACCAAAGACGTAAAATTGAGAGTCATTGGAAATAGGAAATAACGATGTAGCGAACATTTCATTTCTAAATATAAAATCGACACCATAACTTACTGTTTAGTTCTTTGTCACGTTTCGGAGTTTACAAAATACTGTCACTCTGTATTTGATTAGACAGACTTACAATTGGGCTATAGAATCATCCCCCCCCCCCCCAAAAAAAAAAATAAATGTCAACCTACGGCCCTGAATTCGATCTTCACGGGTCTCTTACAGACAAACAAAAGAAGAGATATCGCCAAAACCAATCCGAGAGTTAATTTTAGATTTTACGCAAACCTACATTAATCTGATATTTATTTCTAAAACAATATGATACAGGAAACATATCTGCTATTAGACAACTAATTAATATCCGTGTATAATAGTTACTGACATGTGGCTGCAATCCTTTGAACAATGTGAAAAATGCTTTTATTATCATAATATTAATTACATTGTTCTGTTAGAATGCACCTACATCTGTACAGTTATTAAATCTTTCCACAGATTGAAATTGAAATGTATAAAAATATCAACTTTCACGTTTGAACAAAAAATGCTCAATGCATAGAAATCAAGTATAAAATCCGGACTTTATACCCTAATGATATAGAATGGTCATTCCTTTTGTACAAATCTACACGAATTACTGTCAAAGTATCTAGTTTTCCTAGGAACACAACGCACTGGCAGGTATTGTTTTAACCTTGTCTAACTGACTGCTCACTCTGATGCCACGGTAGCATCTGTAGTGACCACAAATATTAAGTGAGTTTGTGAGTGAGTGAGTGAACACGAACATATGCACGATTTGTGAATCACTCGCTGTGTAGGCATAGGCACACCCATAGTCAAACCTTAAACCTAAAATAAACCTTTATGAGTGAGTGAGTTCAATTTTATGCCGCTGTTAGCAATATTCCAGCAATATCTCGACATGGGACACCAGAAATGGGCTTCACACATTGTAACCATATGGGGAATCGAACCCAGGTCTTCGGCGTGACGAGCGAACGGTTTTAACCACTAGGCACCCCAAATAATAAGTGTATAATGCATAAACATCAAATCGACAACAGCTTCTGAAACGTCATGCATGTGTAAATCAATATACAGATACAGTCCAAGCAAATATTCATAGATAATGTCTGTTGACGTGAAGGGTAAGTTTAAGAATACTCGGAATTTGAAAAATGGAATTCAGTGGTATGGAAACAAAAAGAAGGTTAAGTGAAATGAATAAAGAGCTTTATCTGATGAAATCGTCTGAGCACAGATAAACAAAATGTATCCCTTCAATGAAATGTTACTTGTAATTTTGATGTGCAGAAGGAATTGATTCAATCACAAACACCTCGTACCAACATTACTATACATATGTATGTATAGTCAGGTCTGTCCTTAACTTTCAAATATCATATTTTGATATAGACAGTATTTGATTTTCAGATATGAATGCCAATACAGTTTAAATAGTACATTTATCAAAGACATTTGCGGATTTAATTATCAATATAAAACACAAGCTATTATAACAGTGGTCGACTGTTTTCATTATAGAAATATAGACATTATTTGATTTTCAGATATGAATGCCAATACAGTTTAAATGGTACATTTATCAAAGACATTTACGGATTTAATTATCAATATAAAACACAAGCTATTATAACAGTGGTCGACTGTTTTCATTATAGAAATCCTGTAAATGTTGCTTTCATTCATTTTTTATCTTATTCTGTTCATTTACACATGCACATGTTGCGTATAGAAACATAGTGCCTTTCCTCATGAATAAATTAGTTTACGAAACTGTAAAAATGCAAAATGTAAAAAACGTTAAACGATTATGTTGACACAAGAAGTTTTACAGTTACACAACAATGAGAAAATCAATTAAGCTGCCGGCTCAAAATAGTCAAGTGTAGGAGACCCTGACACTTCTATCGGGCATTCGCTGATACTGACAACATACGTTCCGAGAAGGTTGTACTTGAAAAATAAAGAGAACATTCAACTAAAGGCTGCCTTGTTAGGTAAGTATAAGATACTTCAGTACGTGGGAGTGAGTGAGTGAGTGAACGACTTGGTCTAACCTAATGTTGACTCATTGCAGAAAGATATTGAGGAGTAGTAATACAGAGATTGCCTTTGTTATATCATATACAGATAACATTCGCACACAATGTACGGACTAGTGTATTGCAAATATAACTGACCACATGTGTCAGAAAAAACCCTCCACTTTAGCTTTTACTCGTACCCCTCACCGCATGAATATGGTGTACATTTGTAGACACGTATTTGTCATTCTTCAATTAACTTGAAAACGAACCCATACATATATTGTCTTGTACTGACAGCTCATAATGCAGGCTTATATATATAATTTGACAGGTACCGGCAACTTTGGTGATCATGCCTCAGCAACGGAGAGGGATAAAGGCGGGTCATCGTGGACAAAGAGAACTGTGGACAAATAAAAGAGAATATATTTTGTCTCAAATAGGCTTTGCTGTAGGGCTTGGGACATTTTGGAGATTCCCCTACCTCTGTAACAGGAATGGAGGAGGTATGTATGTATGCGTGTGCGTGTGTGTGTGCGCGCGCACGCGCGCGCGTGCGTGTAAAACTTGGACAGAATATCTTTTGGGAACATACCACTGGTTGTCAAGAAAACTGTGATGTTTGAAGGTATATGTTCAAAATAACCATTCACTGTTTCATTCATGTCTACAGGTGCCTTCCTCATCCCGTACTTTTGTGGAATTCTGCTCTGTGCCGTTCCTATCTTCTTTCTGGAGGTTTCCATTGGTCAGTTCTCCAGCAGGAGCGCTGCCCATGTGTGGGTCATGTGCCCTTTATTTAAAGGTTCGAATCTGTGTGTATTCCTCATTCAACTACTTAAAATGCATGTAAAAGAGCCGTCAATCCAAACAACAGCGCTTGATCTGCCATGAATATGTACACATTCTGTGGATTAGGTTTTGGTTTTCGTATAGTCTTTGAATGAGACTTTTTATGATTTTTTCATTCAATTTCTATATGTTTTGCAGGTATTGGAATCTCGCAGGCTCTAGTTTCTTTCTTCAGTTCCATTTCCTACAATCTCATTATTGCTTGGACCGTATACTACCTATATAAGTCATTCTGCTCACCGCTGCCGTGGACAACCTGCATCAACTGGTGGAACACCGGTCTGTGTGTCCATGATCTCGGCAGCAACATCACATACAGCGACCCCTATCTGAACTACACTACAGGCACTGGTCCCGGCGCTGACGGTGCTTGGAGGAAGCCAAACGAGACATTGACAGCGTCCGAGGAATTTTTGCAGTGAGTCTGTGTCACTTTTCCAGTTACTATATGTCACTCCATGCATTGGTTCATGTACACGAACATGTGCATGTTTAAGGGATAATACAGTAACGGTCCACGTTCTGTCTGACAATTCTGATTTCATTCCATGGTTTCTACATTGAAGGTTTGAAATACACTGGCGATATTGTCCTGAAATATGACTTCAAATTTCGACATTGCCACATACGGCTGTTGCAAGTAATTGTAATATGTCGGTCAACAAGGAGACCTGAAATGCGGGAATAATGTTCAGCTCTATCCTCAGCTTCAGTTTCTATCATTCCCATAGAGTAGGATGGAACGTTGATTAGCCGATCACCATTTTTATACATATTTGCTATTGCATTTACGACTTAGAGTTTGGGTGTTTCCAGGGCCGTAGTTAACTGTTCTTAATCGGAGGGGCACTATCCACGTTCGAGGCCGCGGATCGGCCAATGATCTTGTGGGGTCCGGGGGCACGCTCCTCATGGATTTGTGAAAATTAGATTCTCTCAGATGCAATTTCCTGCCTTTCTGAAGGTAAAATGACACCATTTGTGCAATCTCCAATTTTGTATAAAATATTATTTTTTCCTGCTACGTTTGACTAAATATTTTCATGTTTTTAAAAATGTTTCTTTTGTTCAAAATTGTAGCATCTGTACATAATGTTCTGAACTAAACTTTATAATATGTTTAGACATCTGTATATATGTAAAACAAGTATTATGTTCAGTTTAAGTATTAATATACAGTAGTTGTATTATTAAATTCAGCTGACAGTCCAGAAACTGCACGTGGAATTTACATCATATACATGATATCTTCAGGTTTGGTCAATTTGTCATGTGGATTGAATGCAATCCTTTTTCTAATTTAGTCTTTTGTTTGTTAGTTAGGTATTGTACAATATGCCTTCAGTTATTGTTCCGGGTATTCTATGTCATTGCCCTGGAATCCCCATCTTATTTATTAAGGGTTGTTGTAACCATATGTAAACAGGTGTATCATTCTGGTACCAATCATCTGTCCGATGGGCTGCCCGCAACCTTTGCATCATTAATTGAGGTGTGGATTTCAGGACTGCGGTTGGGGGTATATGAGCCAGTAGTATTCTTGATTTTCTTTACCAACAGTAACACGTGTAGAAACTAGAGGAATCTCCGAAGGTCAGGTGTAGTATTTTAAAAATTCAGATTCACTCAGAACCTTCTGGATCTGCTTGGGCATGTCTGGATCTTGCGCTAAGAAGGTCATGTGGACCTGATTGATTGAGCGGGATTGTGTTATCCATGGATGGTAACTTGACAACACTGTTGAGACAAATACTAGCAAAATACTTGTCAATGCCTAAACATAACAGGCTGAATAAAATCCGAAATTATTATCAGTTGAATTGTACAAATTTGGGTAGATAATTTTGTTTTCTTTCTACAGATACAATGCTCTGAGAGTGTCAAATGGCATCGACAAGTTCGGTCCAGTCCAAGTCCACCTAGTTGTATGTGTTTTTCTGTCCTGGGCCGTGTTGTTTCTGTGTCTGATGTTCGGAGTTAAATCAGTTGGAAAGGTAGGTGTATTGTGTAATCACTATGTCCTGTTCTACATATGTGTTATACAGCACCTGATATTTGAAACAGGATGCGTTTAAATAGTCGGTACCACGGACCCAATGCGCCACATCCAGTGAAGACCAACCGACTGGGAAACGGGCTGGAAAACGGTTTGGGATACCTTTTTGGGGGGCATTTGTGTTTGTGGAAACTTGAAATGTTTGTATATAAGCGAACCCGTGAAGATCCGGTTTAGAATTGGCCTTCAGCAACCCATGCTTGTTGTAAGAGGCGACTAACGGGATTGGTCTTCAGCATCCCATGTCTGTCGTAAAATTCGGGATCAAGTGGTCAGACTTCAAACAATATTTGCAAACTCTGTGTATCTGACTTAAGACGTCTTCTTCAAGGCACGTTTTTTAAAGAAACGTTAATAATCCCTAGCATAGCAGATGCGAAGTCCCTCACAATGCAAATTGTCGTACAGGTTGTGTATGTGACAGCGGTGATGCCGTACCTCCTGCTGACGGTGCTGCTGATCAGGTCGTGCATGATGCCGGGATCCGAAGACGGCGTTCTCTATTTCCTGAAACCTGATTTCTCACATCTTCTCTCGATTCAGGTTATACGAGAAGCAATAGCCTATGCTTTCAGCAGAGATGTTGTATGATTAAGGGAGAAGGATCGATATCTGTTTTTAGATTTCATATTCCGTAAGACCATTTTCCACTAAATGCATGTAAATGCTTGACTGTGCATTCCAAGAAGGGACATGTGTAATGCTGATAAAGATCCTTGATAAAGTAACCCATGAACATCCGGGTTAGAATTGGTCTTCAGCAACCCATGCTTGTCGTAAGAGGCGACTAACGGGATTTGGTGGTCAGGCTCGCTGACTTGGTTGATGCATATCATTGTATCAAAATTGCGTAGATCGATGTTCATGCTGTTGATCACAGGATTGTCGGATCCAGACTCGATTATTTACAGACCGCCGCCAGTTAGCTTGAATATTGCCTAGTGCGGCGTAAAACAATAACAAACACAAACAAAAACAAACACTCCATAATGTATGTCCACAGATACTGAACGGTTATAATCCGTTAAATAAACATGATGTGAGATAATAAGTAGAAAAGAAAACCATCATTGGAATAAGACAGGAATATTCAGATGAGTGTGACTGAGAATGTTAAACGTTCAACACTGATTCAGTAATGTGCAGTGACATCACCTAGTTTATTTCCATGCAAGGTGTGGCTGGAGGCCTTGCTGCAGTGTTTCTTCTCCGTCAATACAACTTACGGAGGCCTCATCACCATGGGCAGCTTCAACTCTTTCCACAATGATGTGTTCAGGTAATCTATTCTCACACTCACATCTTGTTTTATCATAGGATTAAACACACAATATAAATGTCACAGGAACTATAAAGTCCATGCTCTTGCTGATGTAAGGAAGGGTGACAATTTATGGCTGAACAACCTCTAGTTATTGCCATCCTTCCATCAGCTATATGGGTGAACAACCTCCATATATTGTCATCCTTCCATCCATTATATGGCTGAACAACCTCCATATATTGTCATCCTTCCATCCGGATATATGGCTGAACAACCTCCATATATTGTCATCCTTCCATCCATTATATAGATGAAGAACCTCCATATATTGTCATCCTTCCATCCATTTTATGGCCGAACAACCTCCATATATTGTCATCCTTCAATCCATTATATAGATGAACAACCTACATATATTGTCATCCATCCATCCATTATATGGCTAAACAACCTCCATCTATTGTCATTCTTCCATCCATTATATGGCTGAACAACCTCCATATATTGTCATCCTTCCATCCGTTATATGTCTGAACAACCTCCATATATTGTCATCCTTCCATCCCTTATATGGCTGAACAACCTCCATATATTGTCATCCTTCCATCCGTTATATGTCTGAACAACCTCCATATATTGTCATCCTTCCATCCATTATATGGCTGAACAACCTCCATATATTGTCATCCTTCCATCCATTATATGGCTTAACAACCTCCATATATTGTCATCCTTCCATATATTATATGGCTGAACAACCTCCATATATTGTCATCCTTCCATCCATTATATGACCGAACAACCTCTAGTTATTGTCATCCTTCCATCCGTTATATGGCAGAACAACCTCCATATATTGTCATCCTTCCATCCATAATATGGCTGAACAACCTCCATATATTGTCATCCTTCCATCCATTAAATGGCTGAACAACCTCCATATATTGTCATCTTTCCATCCATTATATGGCCGAACAACCTCCATATATTGTCATCATTCAATCCATTTTATGGCCGAACAACCTCCATATATTGTCATCCTTCCATCCATTATATGGCTGAACAACCTCCATATATTGTCATCCTTCCATCCATTATATGGCTGAACAACCTCCATATATTGTCATCCTTCCATCCATTATATGGCCGAACAACCTCCATATATTGTCATCCTTTCATCCATTATATCGATGAACAACCTCCATATATTGTCATCCTTCCATCTATTATATGGCTGAACAACCTCCATATATTGTCATCCTTCCATCCATTATATGGCTGAACAACCTCCATATATTGTCATCCCTCCATCCATTATATGGCTGAACAACCTCCATATATTATCATTCTTCCATCCATTTTATGGCAGAACAACCTCCATATATTGTCATCCTTCCATCCATTATATGGCTGAACAACCTCCATATATTGTCATCCTTCCATCCATTATATGACTGAACAACCTCCATATATTGTCATCCTTCCATCCATTATATGGCCGAACAACCTACATATATTGTCATCCTTCCATCCATTATATGGCTGAACAACCTCCATATATTGTCATCCTTTCATCCATTATATCGATGAACAACCTCCATATATTGTCATCCTTCCATCTATTATATGGCTGAACAACCTCCATATATTGTCATCCTTCCATCCATTATATGGCTGAACAACCTCCATATATTGTCATCCCTCCATCCATTATATGGCTGAACAACCTCCATATATTATCATTCTTCCATCCATTTTATGGCAGAACAACCTCCATATATTGTCATCCTTCCATCCATTATATGGCTGAACAACCTCCATATATTGTCATCCTTCCATCCATTATATGACTGAACAACCTCCATATATTGTCATCCTTCCATCCATTATATGGCTGAACAACCTACATATATTGTCATCCTTCCATCCATTATATGGCTGAACAACCTCCATATATTGTCATCCTTTCATCCATTATATCGATGAACAACCTCCATATATTGTCATCCTTCCATCTATTATATGGCTGAACAACCTCCATATATTGTCATCCTTCCATCCATTATATGGCTGAACAACCTCCATATATTGTCATCCTTCCATCCATTATATGGCTGAACAACCTCCATATATTATCATTCTTCCATCCATTTTATGGCCGAACAACCTCCATATATTGTCATCCTTCCATTCATTATATGGCCGAACAACCTACATATATTGTCATCCTTCCATATATTATACGGCTGAACAACCTCCATATATTGTCATCCTTCCATCCATTATATGGTCGAACAACCTCCATATATTGTCATTCTTCCATCCATTTTATGGCCGAACAACCTCCATATATTGTCATCCTTCCATCCATTATATGGCTGAACAACCTCCATATATTGTCATCCTTTCATCCGTTATATGGCTGAACAACCTCCATATATTGTCATCCTTCCATCCATTATATGGCTTAACAACCTCCATATATTGTCATCCTTCCATCCATTATATGGCTGAACAACCTCCATATATTGTCATTCTTCCATCCAATATATGACCGAACAACCTCTAGTTATTGTCATCCTTCCATCCATTATATGGCTGAACAACCTCTAGCTATTGTCATCCTTCCATCCATTATATGGCTGAACAACCTCCATATATTGTCATCCTTCCATCCATTATATGGCTGAACAACCTCCATATATTGTCATCCTTCCATCCATTATATGGCTGAACAACCTCTAGTAATTGTCATCCTTCCATCCATTATATGGCTGAACAACCTCCATATATTGTCATCCTTCCATCCATTATATGGCTGAACAACCTCCATATATTGTCATCCTTCCATCCATTATATGGCTGAACAACCTCTAGTTATTGTCATCCTTCCATCCATTATATGGCTGAACAACCTCCATATATTGTCATCCTTCCATCCATTATATGGCTGAACAACTTCCATATATTGTCATCCTTCCAACCATTATATGGATGAACAACCTCCATATATTGTCATCCTTCCATCCATTATATGGATGAACAACTTCCATATATTGTCATCCTTCCATCCATTATATGGCTGAACAACCTCCATATATTGTCATCCTTCAATCCATTATATGACTGAACAACCTACATATATTGTCATCCTTCCATCCATTATATGGCCGAAGAACCTCCATATATTGTCATCCTTCCATATATTATATGGCTGAACAACCTCCATATATTGTCATCCTTCCATCCATTATATGGTCGAACAACCTCTAGTTATTGTCATCCTTTCATCCGTTATATGGCTGAACAACCTCCATATATTGTCATCCTTCCATCCATTATATGGCCGAACAACCTCCATATATTGTCATCCTTCCATCCATTATATGGCCGAACAACCTCTAGTTATTGTCATCCTTCCTTCCACTATATGGCTGAACAACCTCCATATATTGTCATCCTTCCATCCATTATATGGCTGAACAACCTCCATATATTGTCATCCTTCCATCCATTATATGGCTGAACAACCTCTAGTTATTGTCATCCTTCCATCCATTATATGTCTGAACAACCTCCATATATTGTCATCCTTCCATCCATTATATGACTGAACAACCTACATATATTGTCATCCTTCCATCCATTATATGGCCGAACAACCTACATATATTGTCATTCTTCCATCCATTTTATGGCCGAACAACCTCCATATATTGTCATCCTTCCATCCCTTATATGGCTGAACAACCTCCATAGATTGTCATCCTTTCATCCGTTATATGGCTGAACAACCTCCATATATTGTCATCCTTCCATCCATTATATGGCTTAGCAACCTCCATATATTGTCATCCTTCCATCCATTATATGGCTGAACAACCTCCATATATTGTCATCCTTCCATCCGTTATATGGCTGAACAACCTCCATATATTGTCATCCTTCCATCCATTATATGGCTTAACAACCTCCATATATTGTCATCCTTCCATCCATTATATGGCTGAACAACCTCCAAATATTGTCATTCTTCCATCCAATATATGACCGAACAACCTCTAGTTATTGTCATCCTTCCATCCATTATATGGCTGAACAACCTCTAGCTATTGTCATCCTTCCATCCATTATATGGCTGAACAACCTCCATATATTGTCATCCTTCCATCCATTATATGGCTGAACAACCTCCATATATTGTCATCCTTCCATCCATTATATGGCTGAACAACCTCTAGTTATTGTCATCCTTCCATCCATTATATGGCTGAACAACCTCCATATATTGTCATCCTTCCATCCATGATATGGCTGAACAACCTCCATATATTGTCATCCTTCCATCCATTATATGGCTGAACAACCTCTAGTTATTGTCATCCTTCCATCCATTATATGGCTGAACAACCTCCATATATTGTCATCCTTCCATCCATTATATGTCTGAACAACCTCTAGTTATTGTCATCCTTCCATCCATTATATGGATGAACAACCTCCATATATTGTCATTCTTCCATCCATTTTATGGCCGAACAACCTCCATATATTGTCATCCTTCCATCCATTATATAGATGAACAACCTCCATATATTGTCATCCTTCCATCCATTATATGGCTGAACAACCTACATATATTGTCATTCTTCCATCCATTATATGGCTGAACAACCTCCATATATTGTCATCCTTCCATCCGTTATATTGGTAAACAACCTAAATATATTGTCATCCTTCCATCCGTTATATGGCTGAACAACCTCCATATATTGTCATCCTTCCATCCATTATATGGCTGAACAACCTCCATATATTGTCATCCTTCCATCCATTATATGGCTGAACAACCTCAATATATTGTCATTCTTCCATCCATATATGGCCGAACATCAATATATTGTCATCCTTCATCCTGAACAACCTCTATATATGTCATTATCCATTATATGGCTGAACAACCTCCATATATTGTCATCTTCCATCCATTATTGGCCAATCCATTGTCATCCTTC